ATGTGAGAATTTTGGATTTTAAGAACTCTTCTGATTTATAACAGTTTTTCTTCATCGCCAGTTAAGAGTAAAACTGACTTTTTAGAATTAAATTGCCTTGTTACTAGCATTTAAATAGCTTCTTTAGCCTGGTAGTATGAATGTAAATCAGATATACTAAAATATTACCCGGTATCTGGATTTAATACAAGAAACTTAATTTGCAGCAGCTGAAGATAATTGTCAATGCTGAACTCATGTTTTGTTTTACTATTGAGACAAGGAAGTGTAGAGGTGAACAAAGTCCTTTTATAAGTCACACTCATTCCTAGCATAAGTGGGTGCAACTCCATTGACTTCAGTGGCATTATACCTGCTTATACAAGGGCTGAATATTTCCTCACTTGTCCAGATAAAAGCAGCACTGACAGTCAATTTGCAACTAACTTTAGAGGCAGTCTGCTTGATCACATGCCACCCTAAATGACTGCAAAGGTCCATGTACCAATATAAGCCATTTTGTTAAGCAAAAATTAAGATAAGCAACTTTTAAAATAGCCAATTGCTTTGCTTTGCTTTACATGACCTAGAAATGTATTAACATTTCTAGAAGGTGGGGGAAGGGGATGGGAGCAGGGTGGGTAAAAGCAAAATTTTATCCATTTGAAGTTCTCAGATGTGGGGTTTCTCTGATTACCACATGTGTCCAATCTGAAATGACAGTGGAAGCACTAGTGCATGGCAGAAAGTGCAACAAGGTCATTTACTAGTAAAATAATATTTTTTTTTTATCTAACAGCAGCTTCCAAATTTGCCCCAGCCTCCTGAGGATTTGTATTTGTTTTAATTTTAAAACATCTGAGTCTTCCCCATTTATACAACATTTGACTATTATCACGAGAGTGATATGCATTCAAAGTGCATTCTTGCTCTTTCACTCCCTGGATTACAAGAAATAGAAAAGATGCAAAGGTAACACCCAATACTGTTAATTCCAGAGAATGAGACAGAGTGAGAGACTCATGCCAAAACATGGCAGCCTGTAATGGTTATTGGGGTGTGAATTATTGTCTTGAAGGAGAGTTGAATACTGCCTTAGGCAAAAGGAGACTATCAGGGCATGAACTTGATACAGGGGAAGGAGAGGGATGCTTCTAATGGGAAGTGTGTTAATACCGTGCCCTGTCATACATTAGTAGTCATTGATTGATAAGGCCTTAAAGATTGACAAAATACAAACTGTCATGAAGCCAAAAAGTTAAAGGCTTTTGAGTGGTAGGTATTTAATAAAGGTCAATTTCCACATAGAAAAGAGAGAAACCGTTTTTCTTAGCTGCTACACTAGAAGAATAGAAAGCAAAATCAGTTTAAAGTAAATGGTTATTCAAATATAGTTCATGTCTTGTTTGGAGGAGGCTACCATCTTATTTAAAAAATGACCTTTGACTATCAGACCTACTGTACTGTTTGTCAGTTTATTTTGAATGTTTTCCTTGTTATAAATAAAATTGTTAACAAAAACTATAAGGTCTTGACAGTAACACTTTATTTTAGTCAATATAATAATAATATAATATAATTATAATTAACATTGCACATGATCAAAGTGCAGATTGAGAGGTGGTGACAAAAATGCTGATTCATAGGTGAGGGGAAAAGGAGGCAAAGTATTTGTAAACTGCTGTTTTTTTACTGATTCTGTATGTGAACGTAAAAAAGCTTAATTTTCTTTGATTTTTTTTTATCACTGTTCACATGTGCACTTTAAGCAAGTAATAGAGTTAAGGTGTTAGCTTGACAGCAAGAAATTAATCTGGCCTAACTACCAATTAATAAAATTAGTAAACCTAGTTTTCTACTTTCCAAATCCATACTCTTTTCATAACTTAAAGAAATAGGACATGAGAAGGGTGGTGTCTTTGTAAATGCTTTACTTTTCATTCCAACTATGGTTTTACATTAAAATGTAAGCCTTTACAATCACATGCTAAAGAAGCACAGTTGGCCCTGGACACTGTGCAATACATGCAGAATCATCAGACCCCTGTTCTAGTGGGAATCTAATGTGGTGCATTACACCCTAGGTGACAGACAGTAGTGGCTAGTCCTCCTGACCCTTCTGCTTTCAGCAACTGGCTGACTCGTCTTATTTAGTAAATGACTTCTCCTCTCCTATGCTCTGAATGAATGTACATCTCATGCTATGCAGAGCAGAGGAGCCAAGAAGGAGAATTCAAAGAGGAGGAATCAGCGGATACCCCTGTTACTGTTAATATTTCATGTAAGGAAAAAAGGAGAGATTTGAGGGGCCAGGAAGAGTCAAGGAGGGAAAGGGGAGATGAAAATAAGTGAGGAAGAAAGCAAAGGGGATTGACAAAAGAATAAGGAGGGAGAGGCAGGAACATAAGAAAGCAGCTGGGGACCAGACAATAAAATATAGAATAATAGATTTTAAGGACAGAAGGGGACTACTACGATTGTCTGACCTCCTGAATAACACAGGCCATAGGTTATGGAAGAACTGCATAGGGAAGGGAAGTAAGGGAGAAGTGACAATGGAACAAGAAACAAAAAGGACAGAATAAAATTCAACCAGTGCAGAGGGCTAGCACGAGGGTTATACAGGAAGTGGTGCACTGGCCCTCTGCACAGGGGTGAATTTTACCCAGAGTGAACAGAGCAAATCAAGAGACATGGGATAGTAAAGGCCAGATTTTAAAGGGTATTTATGTGGCTAACAATGCAGATAGATGCCTAGTGGGATTTTCAAAAGCATCTGAGCACCTAAATCCTATAGGTATTAGTAATCTAGACACTTTTGAAAATCCCACCAGGCATGTCTCTGCATCTTTAGACACCTAAACACCTTTAGAAATTGCTCTAAGAGCTCAAGTTTTACCACAAAAGTACAGTTTGAATGAGCAACAGAGCTAGGAAGGGAGAGTGAATTTTGAATGAGACAAAGATACAAATGTCACGCTGTCTGCAGTGGCTCATGACCATGAGTGCCAACCTCAGGGCAGACTGTCAAAAAGCAGGGCAGAAACCCCAAACTGGTTGTAAGTTTTATAATTAGACTTCACCCACCCAGTAACAAATGTGAACAAAGGCGGCGTCCACTGGCTCCCTTGACACCTTTGAGGAGCAGTGGGCGCTGTCCGGGGTTCTCTGCTTGGTGTCCCCGTCAGGTTCCCTTCTTTTGACCCTTTGACCGCACTCCTGTCCCTGTTTTTGCATTAGTTGTCCCCCGTAATTACTTGAGTTTCAGGCCCTGTGGATCCTCCCCTTAGGCTGGCGGGGGGGACCCTTTAGCAGTGGTGGGCTTATGCCCGCCCACTTCCTGAAGCCCATAAAACAAAAAAGTGAACTCCTAAAGCACTACAACAGTCTTACCATGGAGTCACAGACAGTCCCCTTGGGCATTCCAGTCTATCTTCCCACCCACGCAAGATGGATTATGTGATAGATGATCACTTTACATCAAAAATCACAATAATATTCGGGTTACTGGTCCCAAAGGATTAGTCACTTACCCCAGGTCAATTGTACTCAGATCTCAAACCAAAGACAACATCTGTAATGAATCCTGTAATAAACTAAATATTTATTAACTACAAAAATAAATGAGAATTATTTACAAGGTTAAAACAGGAAACATAAACCCACAAATGAGTTACAGTCTTAGATTTAAAAAGGTGATATAAACTTCTATAATAAGCAACTCTATATGTCCTTTAGGGCTGACCTATGCCAAGCAGCATGAGGATCTCTTGTGTATGTTTAGAAGTCTTTGCCTCTCAGAGTTCAGACAGCAGAAAGAGACCAAGTTTCTCCTTGTCAGGGATTTTTTTTATCCCTTCACCCCAGAATCCAAGCTTATGGGATGAGATCATGCTCCCCTTCCTGGAGGGAATTAGGAATGCAATAAACAAGGTCTGTCTGTGTCCTTTGGTGATACACAAGGCCTCATTTGCCTTCAGTGGACCATCTTGTGTACAGGATAAGCCTTTTACCTTAATTAATGCGTCTTTTCCTGTTTGGTGAGTTAGACAATTACAGAGGTTTACAATGCAAACACTCAGTATAACTTTAGACCCCGGTGGGCACATATCCGGCCCATCAGACCTTTTGATCCGGCCCTCGAGCTCCATTGCCCCGCTCTGGTGCTCTATCTGGGAAGTGGGGTTGGGGGCTTGCCCTGCTCTGGCGCTCCAGCTGGGGAGCGAGGAAGAGGGCTTGCCCTGCTCCACCCACCTGGCGCTCCCACGTGTTCAGGATTTGCGTGATGGGCGTGAGGGCACGCATGTTATTCTGGCTGCACAACCCAAATGTGCCTCAGGCGCCATCAGAGCCTGGAATGTGCAAGCCCATGTGCCTGCTACTTGTTGGCTTAGGTGACTCTGATGTTTTAGTAGTGTTCATTTTCCATTGTTGAGGATAAAACAAAGAGTAGTTGGCATGGGAGTGCTCATTGGCAGTTTTCAAAGTTATGGGCTGTCGGGACCTACATGGGAGGAGATTTCTCTGAGCAGGGGGCTGGTGAATCTCAATGAGTTCCAATGACTGGACGCTGACCCCCGACAAATCCAGGCTAGAGAGAAAGGGCATGGAAAGGGGGTAAGTTTGGTTTAATTATTGTAATACATTGTTATGATAGTATATTTATAACAGTAAGTAAGGTTTTATGTTTATTTCCACTAAAACGTATTTTTATTATATGAAGTTTATTTGAATATCTCTGAATTGTTAATTTCGTGAGCATTCATGGCCCGCCATACAATTTCCATACCCAGATGTGGCCCTCGGGCCAAAAAGTTTGCCCAACCCTGCTCCCCAGCAGGTACACTGGGCGGGCAGCTTCCTGGCTGGAGCGCTGGAGCAGGGCAAGCCCCCGACCCTGCTCCCCAGCAGAAGCGCTGGATGGGCGCAATGGGGCAAGCCCTCCACCCCGCTCCCGCTCTGGAGTGCCAGAGCGGGACAACAGAGCTCGAGGGCCGGATCAAAAGGTCTGACAGGCCACATGCGGCGCGCGGACTGTAGTTTACCCACCCCTGTTTTAGACCATGGGTAAGGTTGAGATTTTATCATGGTTATTTTTAGTAAAAGTCACGGACAGGATGCAGGCAATTTACAAAAATTCATGGAAGCCTGCGACCTGTCTGTTACTTTTACAATAAATAATGGGGGAGGGTTGATGCGGGGATGACTGACGCCCGAGCCCCACGGTGGCTGAAAGCTGTGGGGCCTGCTGCATAGGGCTGAAGGTGAAGGGAAAATGTCACAAAGGTCTTTGAAAGTCACAGAATCTGTAGCTTCTGTGACTTCCATTACAAAATCTTATCCTTTGCCAGGGGATATAGATATTATAAGTAGGATTAATACATGCAGCATCCTACAAACATTCCATTAAGTCTAAACACTAAACACATTCTTATAACACTAATTTTTATTTTAACTAACTATCCCACAGGTAAGCCAGACTGGTGCCCAGGTATATATTTGTCAGTGTTTTGTGAGGCCTTGGGCCTTGGCATGTGCTGGCACCTAGTCTGCCAGCATCACAAGAAGGAACCATGATTCTTTTTGAGAATTGGTGGGCCCAGTTACATTTTCCAGAAAAAGGGAAACAGACAGAGAGAGACAGGAAGAGAAGAGAAAGATGAGAGAATACATTGAAGAGAGCGAGCAAACACTAGATATGAAATGGAATAGTAAAGAAATGAGAAAACAAACAACAGGGACTTGGTTCTGTGCTGAGTTACATTTCTTGCAAACTCAGTCGCCGGGTTACATAGGGTGCAAATCACTGCAGATTTTGGCTCTGTAAATGTTTAGTTGAGTATTTTTACAATTATGTCACAGAGTTGTGTGGTTTTTTCACCCTGATTTTCAAGTCCTAATTTGAGACAGAAGGAAAAAATTAACGATTAAACAGTTGAAAGAAATTAAGGGAAGAAAAATAGAAACAAAAAGTCAGGAGTGATTGATGCCATTTTGCCTTCTTCTTGGAGTGAGGTAGGCTGTCCAGCAGCCAGTCAGCTAGTAATAAACATCCAGATCCCATATAGTCCAGTTTCAATTCCTGTTCCTCATCTACTCGTTGTTAAATGGACTCGGGGTCCAAGCATCTCAGATTACCTCTTTTTTACCCAGGTTTATTGGCTGGAATATACAGAGGTGCTTAGGTTGACTACTTGCTCAGAAAACGTCCATATGTGTATATTAACAATAGCCCCACTAGCAGTTTCTTCTTATTTTAAGAGCAAAGTATAAATAATTTCAGCAAGTGTCCCTCAGCTTTATCTGGAAAGTAGTGTCTCCCTCCTTTTTTATTTCAACAGTGGAGAACTGAGTTATTAAATTTTTAAAAAAATCCAGTGAGATTGTTGGTGGAGAGGAAGGGACATGGAGGATACAATAAGAGAAGAGATCTTTATTTATGCTACCAGAGTTGTTCAGGGCCTTGGAAACAAGGATAAGAACTGTCATCTGTTGTCTCATACTTAAATTGTAAACTCCTTGTGGGAGAGGCAGTGTTTGCCAAACCCTTAGCACCATGGGGTCCTGGTTTATGACTTGGCATTCAGGTAATACAGATAATAATAAATTTGATACAGTGGATTTAAGGAAGGCAATGCAGCAATTGAAAGAGGGGACTGTATGCAAGGGGTTCTAAAGCTTTTTTTAATTTTATTTGTATTTTTTGTATGCTGAGTTTTTGGCCTTGGAAAAGTTTCACCGATTATACATGTATAGTTTAACAGGTGTAACCACCTATGTGGGTGCTCTTATTCTAGTATAAGTATACCTTTTCCGATTTACGTCAGAAGACATTTAAACCGCATATACTGTCCTGTCTAGACAAGGCATTTGTCTCAACAGTATATTGTGCCAGTGAGTTCCACGTGTTCTTTAGATGTTGTAAAAAAAAGTTATTTTATTAATTTAAAATGTGTTGCATTTAAGTGTTGTTAGTTGTCTCCTGGCTCAAAGACTAACATTTCCTGGAGACTGATTCATGGCCCTTATTTTTTCATTACAGATTAGATCGGGTGAGTAACTCCTTCCCCCCCAGTCATACCCGTTCATAAGTAAATTCCCTACTTGCTGTTGCATACAAACTGGGGCCCTGTAATCGCATGTTATCTTCAGAACAGTTGTAAGACTTGCTTTGCTGAGAGAAAACTGACAGGAAATTAGGCAAGAGAATGTTCCTCCTTTCCCATGGTTTCAAGTAATGAACAACTAAGTGGAATAAAATATTTAAACAAGCCACTTTTTCCATCAAGGAAAATATCGGAATAAAGACAGAATAACTAAGTGTAACTAAAAACCGTGGGCGAGCTACATCTTTTATTAATTATTATTATTATTATTTCACTTTTGCCCAAATTCATACTTAGAGCTGGGGACTGTCCATAAATTATATGATGGGGGTAGGTGGGTCCTTAAATTTTGCTTTGTTTCAGTGTTACAAACAAACCCGCCGACGGGAGGGGACAATTTCCCAGGGGTCCGAGCGATTTAAAAGGGCCCGCGAGCCCCGGACCCTTTTAAATCACCAGGGCGGGCCGCAGGGCTTCTAGGCGCGCCCTCCCGAGTCCCAGCGCCCGCCGCGGGCTGCAGGGCAGCTCTGCGGGCCGCCGAGGCTCCGTGCACCCCGGCGGACAGCGCTGGGGCAGGAGGGGCCCTGGGCGGCCGGAGGATGAGTCGGGGCAGCAGCCCCACAGCGGAGCCGGCCCGGCTGCGGCAACGATCTCTGCAACTTTGTATCCAGGAGTGAAACTCTGCATCCCTGTGAGTGAGCGGTGGGGGGCGCCGGGCTGGGAGCAGAGCGGGGAAGCCGAACTTGGGGCGTAGAAACAGACACGGGACTTCGGGGAGCGGGGGCGGAGGAACCGGGCTGCGAAGGGAAAAGGGGGTCAGAGCCGGGTACAGGACTAGAGATCGGACTCAGGATCCATCAGCCGCTGATCCAACATCTGCAGCAAAGGCGCTGGCCAGGCTTTGTCTGGGGTCCGCCAGGGAAGGGCAGGGCAGTGTGGGCTGGGGGAGGGGAGGGTGTTTCGGTGACAGCGCTGGGCTGGTGGAGTGAGTGAGTGAGTGTGTGTGTGGTGGGGGTGGGGGGGGGGTGCGTGGTAGGTTTAGTTTT